TATGGCCATAACTGCTATGCGCTGGAGAATTTTCAGGAAAAGAGCTCCGACTTCTAACGCACAGTAAACCTGCACAGCATCGCTACATCTGTGCAGAAGATTAGTTTCCCATGTACTTAAACGAGTCTTTGAAGAATGAATTTTACAGTAGAAACTATGAGGTCAGGAGGAGACTGGCCACGAGTAACCAACTTTGTTCTTAAAGATAATCTAATTATTTTATTTTACACTCATCCTGGTTACTCGTGGAAATTCGTACTAAACAAAAATTTTAGCGATTATAACTGCTTTATTGCCTAGAAATCTTTTTCGTTTTCTGTCCTATTCACTTTGTACTTTGTTTCGATAAAGGAGAGAATAGAAAATCGTAGGCGACGCGCCTCACCGCACAATGTCATGGCATGATAAGCGTGACACGAAATGTCACGCACTGAAAGTAACGAAATCGCCATATTCTAATTGTTCTCAAATAGGCATGTCGACGTTAAACATAGCAAATAAAAAGCCACCGGGGGTTTTACATCTCAGCACGAAGACATGAGTTGAATTAATTTTCTTAAGGATGTGTGGCCACTTTTGCGATTCAGACAATCGGCAACAAAATTGTTGAGACATTGTACTCAAATAGGGTAACTTTAGAAACATAAGAATCCACACCCCTCCCCTGTCCCCTTTATTCAAGGTTGGGATGTTTCTTGTTTTTTAAAGTTTGCTCGAACAGTGGCACAACATTGCATGGTGGGGGATTGGGGAGGAAACGCTATCTTTCCCCCTTTTGAAGTCCGGAAAACGTCAAAAGGTCCATTTAGGGCGAAGCGTTTCAACTCATTTTGTCGCCGATTGTAGGTCAGCTTGACTTAAGACTTTAGCCTTTCTTTCTTTCTTTGTTTGTCTTTCTCTAGATAAACTTGGTATCTCTCTGGATCTCCCTTAAGCTTTTTAAAATAATAACTCCAACGTTTTCCAGGATTAGTCATTATCTTGGAAGTCTTTTACAGGGTGTCCCAAAAATTCGTTCCTCTACTTTATAAGTTTGTATTTCAATACGATTGGACTCGGTAAGCAAATCATTGAAACACAATTTGTCTTTCAATCTAATTCACCATTTTCATACTTGTTGTGCCATTTTTGGACTCGAATATTCGATTTGTGCACTTCCGTGCGCGTGCGCGAGTATATTTTCCAGCCACATATTTTTTGTATTCTATAGCCCGAATTGCTCGAACTCCTTCCTTGTTTTTTGTGAATATCACGAAAGATAAATCCCCTTAACGCAAAGACGTTCAGCTATTTTAGGGGATGAGCATGTATATTTCGATTTACTGGCTTATCTGTCGTCGAAACTGCGAAAAAACTGGAAAAATCCGAACGTTGGAAGGTAAAATGATCATCGAGGAATGAAGGTTTTGAAGGCAAGAAATGAAGGCGAAGACCAAAACTCCCACATAAAGCAGCTAAACAGTTTTAAAGAAGGCTAGATGTAAAAAAAGGAGACTCAACGAGAAAGCTCTCACATTAGTTAGCAAGCCAAGTCCAGAAAGGGTCATGAAAAGCTGTTTAAAATTAGAGGCCCCTGAGTTGGTTAAAAAACCATTGCTTAGTCTGCCAAGTAACGTCCAGCTCGGCTCAAATTGGTAGCGAAGTACAAAATCTTGCTGTGGAAGGAGGCCGGGATGATTATCTTTTTTGGATGAATGCCCAAAATATATTTTTTCCAGCTGCCTAAACTAAACAAACATTGTTTGGGGGTTGAACTGGCCCTTGCACACCAGCTGATAGAAAAGCTCAAAATGGATCATCTGTGGGTCTACAAGCTGTATCCCACTTCATGCAGCGACGGCTACAGTATGCGATTAAAAAAAACAAAAAGGGCATGCCCGTAACTGAAATTCTGAATACATGTACTCAATAGAGAAATAAACATCTTCCAGCAATTTCATGTAAAAATAAAGTTTTGATCAAAAGTTATGGTGCATGAATTTAGAGGAACGAACTTTTGGGACACCCGGTAGTTCATAGAAACTGCGGACAACTTAGAAAATGCATAATCTGTTGTTGTCTGAGCATGCTATTCCCCACACAGAGCATGCTTCAAGGCAAGAGAGAATGAGCTAAGAGAGCGAAACCCTGTGCCCCATGATAATTTTTTTAAATCTGTTTAAAGTTCGCGCGCGTGCTGCGAAGGTTATTTTTGTCTGTTGTTTCCGTGACCCGCACGGTCTACTTTCATTTGAACGTGACATGTTTCGCCGCCAAACATTTGAAGTTTGACAGCCATTAGTAATTAGCGCCAGGAGCTCCTGTTGTTGACATGTTTTTGATCAGCGCTTTCGGCTCATAATTTAGGAATGAATTTCATTTACAAAGGGATTGCAGTATTGGAGTCAAAATTTCACTTTGAGATTAAAGATTGAGATTTTCTAACGGCTGGTAGCCTCATTTAAAGTAACGAATATTGAATTCTGACACACTGTGAAAGCCAGAGGCAACGGTTATCACGCGCGAAACACGAAACCTTTAATTAGTGGCTGGCTTCAATTGTTTATGCAAATGTGCAAGACATTTTTTCTCTTTTTCCAGGAATATTTTTCGTTCAGAAACAGTACGTTTCAAACTACATTACTTCTTAACGTCTAATACTTGCGATGAATGTTTCGCTGTGCAAACACAAATCAGGTCAGATGCTTCAAGCTGTTAAACAGTTGCTAACCTGGATGCTA